CTCAGGTGTGTGCTGGGGGCAGGACCCACACCCCAGCGGGGATCCCCAGCCCCGGCCCTCCCAGCACTGTCCTATCCCTGCAGGTGGGATGCAGCGGAAGCTCTCGGTGGCCATCGCATTCGTGGGGGGGTCCCGGGTAGTCGTCCTGGACGAACCCACGGCCGGTGTCGACCCCTACTCCCGCCGCAGCATCTGGGAACTGCTGCTCAAGTACCGCAAAGGTGGGGGCCGGGGGAACCCCACTTCTCCCCACATGCCTGTGAGCTCCCCAGCAGTGGAAGAGGTGCTGGTGGGCTGATGCCCCTCAAAGAGGGGCTGGTGTGGGGGTCTGGGGGTCCAGTCCACTGTCTGTCCCCAGGCCGCACCATCATCCTGTCCACCCACTACATGGATGAGGCGGAGCTGCTGGGGGACCGAATCGCCATCATCTCGCAGGGCCGGCTCTGCTGCTGTGGCTCCCCCCTCTTCCTCAAGGCCAGGCTGGGCACCGGGTACCACCTCACGCTAGTGAAGCAGGAGAGGGTTGGGATAGGCACCAGCACCACCAAAAAGGTGGGTCCCTGGGCCCCACCGAGCATCAGCCAAAGCAGTGGCCAGTGCCTCCGTGCCGGCTATTGAGGGTGTACCAAAGCTTGGGGCTGGATCCTGCCACAGGATGGCAGGACGCAGCTGTCCATTCCCACAGGATGGCAGCGACTCGGAGCACAGCAGCGACACGGGGCTGGGCAGTGAGCGGGGCAGCGAGGCCAGCACCATGGGTGAGGGTTCCATCCCTCCCTTTGCCCCCTGGAGTCTCCTGAGGACCCCCAGACTGGGGTGCAGGGCACTGCACAGACCACCAGTTTCTGCCCTCGGTTTCCCCCCAGATGTGGCCCAGCTGTCAGCACTGATCCAGAAGCTGGTGCCTGGGTCACGGCTGGTGGAGGACATCGGGCAGGAGGTGCTCTTTGTCCTGCCCTACAGCGGGGCCAAGGATGGGGCTTTCGGGGACCTCTTCCGTGAGCTGGACATGCGACTGGGGGCATCTCCAGCTACGGCATCTCTGACACCACCCTGGAGGAGGTACCTGGGGCTGAGGGGGGCTGTCTGCAGCTCCTGGGGTGCCCCCCTCCCGCCTCCTCCCTGGAGCTCTGCTGGGGCTGCCCGGGACTGGTGGATTTGCCCCACCAAGGCTGTGGGTGCTGGTGGCCATTTAATGACAGCTTCCCCCTGCCCTCAGATCTTCCTGAAGGTGGCCCAGGACACAGGGGTGGATGCTGACACTGCAGGTAAACCCCCCTGGTGTGGGCTGGAGCTGAGTTTTGGGAGGCAGGGGGACACAGGGGGAGATGCTCAGCAGCCCAGAGCAGGGGGTGTGGGTGTCCCCAGCCCCTCCCTGTGACCCCCACCCTTCCCGGGGCTGGGGTCCCTGCGGGGAGCACCTATGGGTGCAGGGAGGTGTCATGAGCTCTGTTCCATCCTGCCTCTCTCACTGTCATTTTGTCAGGCACCGGGAGCAGAGCAGCCCCCGGTGAGGGAGGGGACACCGAAGCGGCCGACAGGGAGCTGGGTAAGGAGGGAGAAGCTGGGACAGTGGTGGGCTTG